TTTTTTTTTCTTAAAAGTTAATTATTTTTATCTTATTTTAGGTTTTTGTGCACTATGACTACAAATGAATGAATTTATTTGGTTTTTTGGTGTCATAATATTCTACGGTAACTGTGTCCTTAGATAAGTAGTAAATGGTATGACTAAGTAATGTACATTTAAAAATAAAAGTTTAACTTCATTTTTCAGAGAAATAATTTATTTTTTACGAAGTTTCCGCGCCTTCTGTATAAAAAAAAGTACGGTAACCTGTGTGGCCAAGTACTTTAAAATAATGTAGGTTTAATGAGGATTTCAAAATGATATCATTTCTCATTGTATCTAAGGTAAATATGAAATTATTCCTATTAATGTGCAAACGGAGTTACTAAAGTAAATTTTACTAACTGAGTATTTACTAAAAAACTATGTTTGCAAAATTGGAACATTTCTTATCCTGAATTGTTCTAGACTATTGAGTTTTGATAAAAAATAATATTAGGCATTAATAAAATTTTATTTAAAACTTATTTACAGCAAAATTATGCAAAAATCCAATCAAAGTAATTTTTCAATTGTTGTCTTCAAAGTACCACGTGGGACCGTTATTTGCCACCTGCACGATAAGATACCCTAACGCACGTCACCCATCTAATGCCGTATTTATAAGAGTCCACCAATGTTACTCAGAAGGAAGAATGCCTGGTAGTGGTGTTGGTGGCACTAGCGCTGGAACAGCACCTCGTGATGAATATGAAGAGATGGAAGAGATTCTTATCATATGAACAAAAGACGGGCGGTTAGTTTATACAAAATATACACAACGATATTTTTTTGAGCCCCTGACGGAGCACGGCCCGTCCACGTCCCGGATATGTGTGGATAGACCTTAATCCTTAGCCTGCAAAATGAAAAGGAAAAACGAAGCCATGTGTTTTTTGACTTTGACGTTGTTGAACTTGTTGACAACACTAGCTTGATTGAGGTTATTTTGTTAGATCGTAATATTTTGAACCTTCTGTTTGTCCACAAAAAGGTTTGCATTAATATTGGAAAAGGAAGTAAACAAAGATGTCCAAACCTAAAATAAAAGTGATAAGTCGGAATCCAGAGGACTACCTGCGTGCTTCAAAGCGAGACATTCACAAATGTAAAGCAATTTTATTTTATTTATTAATGGTAAACTAGAAGTATAAAATTTTTTTCATTCAGAAATTCCCGTATTATTTTCATTAATTAACTCACAATGTATTTTTATGGGCAATTTTACTTTATTTTTATTATATAATATGTAACCATACTTATATATAGTTATATATCTATCTTGTAAAAGTTGCGGGAAGTCCGCATTAGTAGGTATCTACTGAAGAGACCTATTGATGATGAAAATATTATGTTTTCAATTACAGTACCTCGAAATTATGATCCAAGTCTTCACCCGCTGGAAGCACCGCGAGAATACGTGCGGGCAATGAACGCTGTAAAACTCGAAAGGGTTTTCGCTAAACCCTTTATCGGGAATCTCGACGGGCACCGTGATGGAGTTTCCTGCTTGGCTAAGCACCCGAGTCGATTGGCTGTGCTCGCAAGTGGGGCCTTTGATGGTGAAATACGCATTTGGGATTTAGTTTACAGAAAATTTACTAGAAACTTTCAAGCCCATGAAGGCTGGGTTCGTGCTATATGCTACAAACCCAGCGGAGACGCATTTACGAGTGTTGGTGATGATAAGATTAAGACTTGGAAATCAGAAGTACAGTCAACTGAAGACGAGGAACCCATTAGTGAACTTCTTAGTATGTCTCCAGTGTCTGGTATAACATACCACAGGTCTAAACCCATCTTTGCTACATGTGGTGAGCATTGTCAGTTGTGGGAGAATACAAGAAATGAGCCAATAAAAGTTTTCAAATGGGGAGTGGACAGCCTTCATCATGTAGCTTTCAATCAGGTATCTAATTTTTGCTTTACATACATGCAGACACATTTGACATGCTTTACAACATTCTTTATTAGCAAAAATTTTAGCAAATTTTTAAAAATTAAGTACATTATATTAAACCTTAACATGTACTAAATATTTTCAGGTGGAAAAAAATCTACTAGCATCCTGTGCGAGTGACAGAAGTGTCATACTTTATGACTGCAGAGAATCAGGACCATTACGCAAAGTGGTAATGGAGCTGAGGTCCAATGCTCTCTCCTGGAACCCTATGGAAGCTTTCATATTCACCGTAGCCAATGAAGATTACAAGTACATTTCTAAAATTCATATAACATGGCGCTCCTTTCTACTTCATTCTTTTTTTACCCGAGGAACATAGGCCATCCTCTCTCAGTTACATAAGACAAAAATCACTATCAATTTAGTAAAAAAAATGTAAAATAGAATTAAATATTTACCATTATGACGAAAATCAATTTCCATATTTGAAGCTTTCATATTCACCATAGCCAATGAAGATTACAAGTACATTTCTAAAATTTATATACCATGGAGCTTCTTTCTACTTTATTTTTTTTTTACCTGCTAAAAATAGGAACATAGGCCATTTCTCTTAGTTACATAAGACAAAAATCACTATCACTATAGTAAAAAAACGCAAAATAGAATATTTACCATTATATCTAAAATTGATAAATCTAATTTCAGCTTATACACATTTGATGTACGAAAACTGAATCAACCAGTCAACATCCACATGGATCATACTTCGGCAGTAATAGATGTGGATTATGCACCAACAGGAAGGGAGTTTGTCTCAGGGAGCTATGACAAAACTATTAGAATATTCGAAAGCTTAAAGGGCCATTCTAGAGATGTTTACCACACAAAGAGAATGCAGAGGCTGACTTGTGTAAAGTGGACTTTAGATAACAAATATATACTGTCTGGTTCTGATGAAATGAATATCAGAATGTGGAAAGCAAGAGCATCAGAGAAACTTGGTGTTGTAAGTTTTTTACACTTTAATACTTTACAAATCTAAGAAGTGTATGGTCACTTATGTCTATTGTGAGATTATAGGTATGTCATTATCCATTACAGAATCATCTAGCAGTATATATTTATATGAATTTTTAAATTAATACTTTTATACAAACATGAAGATCACAGGTTTCAAATTGATTTGTAATTAGATGTTCTGTTAATAACAAATATCAATATTTTTTGTAACCTTAACAAATAAATATGTAATACCTATATTACAGCTAAAACCCCGTGAAAGAACTGCACTGAACTATGCAGATGCTCTAAAGGAGAAATTTGCTAACCATCCACAAGTAAAGCGTATTGCACGTCACAGGCATGTACCTAAACATATTATGAATGCTCAGAAGGAAATAAAGACAATAAGAGAAAAGAACAAGAGGAAAGAAGGTAATAGGCGTGCCCATAGTAAGCCGGGAGCTGTACCATTTGTTGCTGAACGTCAGAAGCATATTGTTAAAGAAGATCACTGAATAAAAAAGTATTTTGTTACATTGTCTTTTCTAGTTAATCTATTTCATCTGAAATTTCATATACAATCATACAATACTGTTTGTCTACTTTGATTATGAACTACAGGTACCTATACAGTAGCCAATACTAATAAGGAGTACTATTTATCCTTATGTTCCAAGACATTTAATGTGTAGATAAATAAATTACAATGTAAATAGAGATTCTGTCAGTTTTAAGTAAAATGCTATAAAGTAATTTGCCCAATAACACTACTGGGCAAAATACACTATTCACCCAGCTTGGTTTATAGGTCTACTTATACGGTTTGGAACAGTCATAATTCGGATGTCAGTTCTGAAAAAATAAAAATGTTTGTTATTATGTTGCCCAAACTTACCAAACCACATGTACAAAAAATAGATATCTTACATAATATCACGTGGAAGTACTGTTATGTCTAAGTTATATTCAAGCACTGCCAATATGCATAATGTTTTAAGAGTGGGGGCATAGTCCAAGATGTGGAGATCACTGTTGTCAATCAGTCTTTCTGGATTATCATCTGAATTGTCTACCAGGGGTCGTTTGCTGGAATGAGGGCAGGGACTGCAGAACAATCATTAATTTTATGTACACTGATAACATACAATCACTATCCTATGGCATACTTATTTGATAGTAATGATATGTATATAGATATCCTCCTCTGTTAACAGAGGATGAAGGACAGAGTTTTAAATCCAACTCCTAATAAAATTGCAAACCAACAGGACATTGGTGGCTGGAAGCGTAGGTGGTTTAGTAATAGCCATAAAATAAAAACATAGCAATAAAAATCAAAAATACACATGAATGTATAAGAAGTAACCCACTTATTCACTACTTATAATAAACAGGTTTTATATTAACATGTATAATTAAGCAACACCTTTAATGTAGTATGCAAAAATAATGCTTATAGTTTATGTTAATTATTTGGGAAATGAATGTGTCCAGTTTTCATTGAAAACCTCACCTTGTGCCCCCGAATAAATAAACTTTGTCATCATACAAAAGACATGCTTGCCGGCGCCGTTTACACGGAACTGAACCTAACACGTCGATGAATTCCCAATGGTTGTCAAGAATTGAATATCTATAAATGTCATTAAAGTGTGCTTTCGTGTTGCCATTGTAGCCCCCAAAGATGTACATGTAGCCATTATGATACCCTGAAGAAAACAAAACAAAGAGTTAAAAAGTTGCAATACATCAAAAACTCAAAAAATTAATATTATATTGCTAACTATGATTTGTACACTTACAAGCAGAATGACTGCGTCTTCCTTCTGGCCAAGTTCCAGTTGGCTTGGTTGCTATCCATTTTTCTTCAGTAATATCTAAATAGTATACTTCTGGGCAGTACACTTCCTCATGAGAATTATAAGGGCTATTCAGATCACCCCTCCCTCCAAATACATACATTCTGCTTCCAACAGCCACAGTTGTATGGAAATCTCTGTGAGAAGGTGGTGTTCCTGTGGCTACAATAAAACTCCATTCAAGAGTATCCAGGTTCAAATAATGAACTTCTTGTGAATACTGATCAGTGAGATATTCAAATCCTCCAAAAATAAACATTTTGTTTTCAATAATGCAAGCTGAGTGACCGTCTTTAGCATATGGCGCATTACCATTTATAGTAGGTGTACTCCATTCCAGAGCTTTGGTATCGAAACAGGAGAGAGTATCACATGCTACAGCATTATTCCTTCCACCCCACATATACACCTGAAAGCATGATAAAATCCATCACATATAAAAAAAAGATTGAAAAATTATTAATACTCTTGCAAATTGGTTTGCTTGCTTGCTCTTTGAAATTGGTTTTATTTTTGCCAGAGTATTGGAAATTCCGTTTAGAACAAATGCTATCTATAAATACAGAGCACATTATCATTAAAGTAATAATAAATGTGAATTCAAGTAAATGCTACATTGTGTCATACCTTATGTCCATAAGCAACTGTAGTATGACCATAACGTTGGAATGGCACAACCATGTTGTGTTTGTAGTTGACAGGCGCCCAACGGAGAGTCGTGGTGTCCAGAACATGAATGGGTATTGGAGCCCAATCTCTATATTCTTCAGTTGAGCAGTAGCCACCGAAGGAGTAGATTTTGTTTTCAATGCAGACTGCTGCATGGTTCACTCTCCTTGGTCCACCTTCTATGTGCACTGTCCACTGCATGTTTCCGCTTAAAGACCTCGATGCGTTCAGCAGTTCGTTCGTGCAAAGATTTGCAAGTATTTGAAGGAGCACCGCTCTAACTAAAAACAAAACTGTTTGAAGAAAACAGAAGCTGTAGCAAAATCCGTCTAATACTGTACGCCCAACCTTTACCATCACAAGAATACTTTTTATAATAATATTTTCATTTATCTATTTTTAAAACTTACAACCAGCACAAATACAGCAAAATCGATGGCACAGACAGACAGTGTCTAGGGACGATTCGATACAAGTAAATACGAGTAAGTACTCGATACTTTTTGTATCGAATCCCTTCCTTCGATTTTTACTGGGTATTGGAAGACAAATACTGGTATAGAATCGAAACACACATGCGTAAATATTGAACTTTAATCCCACTTCCCAGGAAAATATCAAATGATGATATTTCTTTCCATTTTCACCGTTTTACAGCAAACAAATAGTGCCAGAGTAAAAAAAAATGTATACGTCTATCTATGGTCCCTTTGGATCATTTTTGGATGAATTTTGGACATACATCTCAGCGAATGATCGAAAGCGGAGTTCACAAAGAGAATTGGCGGGTTCTGTATTTTTGTGGGTTTTTGTATTACAGTTTTTATTTATAAATTAATGTTTAGTTTAGGTGTTATTGTAGCAGGAAAAATTAGTAACAAATAAAAATTCGTGTTTTTTATGCAATTGACGTGTTTTTATTGTACACTTTGACATCCTAGTTTTTTTATGTACCTATCCACTTAGAATAATAACGCATAGAAACCTAGCCCGCATACGCTAAGTGAGGCAAATTACAGGACGCCCTATGGCAGGGATGCACAGACTTATTAAGACTAGGGGCCACTCGGGCAAATCATGAATTGATGGCGGGCCGTCAGAAGTATAGGTAATTAAAGACAATAAAGAATTGATAATAATGTATTAAAATTGAAAAATAATTTATTAATTTGAAGCGTGGCACTGCATAGTGCTTACAATCATTTTTATATTTGGCTCAAATTTACTTATAGAAGCAACACGTAAAACTGCTTCCAAACTTTCATTTGCAAGGCGGTTTCGATTTTTTGTTTTATTATTATTTAGTATTGAAAAAGATTGTTCACATATATAGGTAGAACCAAATAAGCTGGCACATTTCAAAGCGTGTATGCGCAACTCTTTGTACATATTTTTATCAATGCAGTCATTGACTTACAGTCAATGAATGCAGTGGTAAAAGTTCAACAAGTCTCCTTCGTTGAATTTGTTGCGTAAATCTTGGTCGTTTTGAATGTCGATAATTTGTAACTGCATTGACTCTGGCGCATTTTCATTTGAAATCGTGAAAGGATTGCTGAACATGTCCAACAGAGGTTTCACTTTTTTAAAGTCCGAAAATCTGTCTTGAAAAGATTGAATCAAAATATCTAGCTTTTCTACATAACTGAAATTAATCGCAGTTTTGTTGAATTTTTCGGCCATTTCCTTATAATGCGGAAAATGATTGTAATTTCCAGAATTCAGTTGCGATCTGAAAAGTGTCAGCTTGCATTGAAAGGATGATACATGAGCGTAGAGCTGGGATATCAGTTGATTTTTGCCTTGAAGCCGTGTGTTCAAGACATTCAAATGATTTGTAATGTCAACTCACACAAAAAAAAAATCACACAACCAACCAGGATTTTTAAGTTCCGGGACATCCCTTTGCTTTTCCGCCAGAAATATTCCAATTTCTTCTATTAAATTTAGAAATCGTTCCAGTGTCAATCCACGACTTAGCCACCTTACTTCTGTATAAAACAGCAAATCTCCATATTCGCTTTCGATGTCATCAAGGAATTGTTTGAATTGCCTGTGATTGAGTCCTCGTGATTTTATGAAATTTACAGTCGACACTACCACTTTCATGACATTTAGAAATTCAATTTTTTTAGAACAGAGGGCTTCTTGGTGTATAATGCAGTGAAACTGCATGAGATCTTCAGCGTTTATGTTTTTTTTTTGCAGACACTTTTTTAGCAAAGTAACTAGCCCGGAATTGACACCAATTATAGAAGGAGCACCGTCAGTCGCAACTCCCGATAATTTTGATAAGTCCTAACCAGTTTTTGAACACTTATCCAAAAGTACATTGCATATATCAACTCCTTTGGTTTGACCTTTCAATGAACACATTCCTAATAACTCTTCTACGACTTCAAAATCTTGAGTAACACCTCGTATGAATATGAGTGGTTGAGCTGTGGAACTAATATCAGTGGATTCGTCGAGTGCTAATGATAAAAAATCAATGATCTTAGTTTTTTCAGTTAATTGTTCAGTAATATTACCTGACAAAGACATAATTCGTCTTTGGATTGTCATACGATTCAGTTGAATTTTCTCAAACTTTTTTGCTGCTTCTGGACACATTTTTTTAGCGGCAATTTCTATGCATTCTTTTACAAAATCCCCGTCATTGAAGGGGCGACTTCGCTTTGCTATCATTCGAGAAATTTCATAACTAACTTCTGTAGCTGTTTCTAAATCTTGAATGAGTTTTGGAAACATAGCTTGCTGACCAATAAGCTCCCGTTTTAAAGACAACATTTTTTGCTTTCTTAATTCGCCTGTTAATTCGGTAATAGTAGAATGCTGCGTTTCATAGTGCCTTTTTACATTATATTCCTTTGCAATCGCAACAGAATTCTTGCAAATTAAACAAACGACTTTGTTATGCGACCATACAAAAAAGTACTTCTCAGTCCATATTTCTTGAAACTGCCGATTTTCATCTTTAGCCTTACGTTTTTTACTACCTGGCTTGTCCATGTTGCGTTTTAATCCTGTCTAAGGTTAACACTGCACCTAAAAACAATTACAGTACCTACTTAAATTACCCATTTTTTACCCATTATTTTTTTACCCACGAATTTAACCGAGGTCAGCACGAACATTACCGACCGCTGTTACCGACGCACGCACGGCGCACCGATAAGCGCACATATTTTTTTTGGTTTTATTCTGGAATAGAATTCAATATTTTTCGAATGTACGAGAGTATTATTTTGCTGTCGGCGGGCCACCAGTATTTCACCGGCTTACACGAGCGAGCGGGCTGTCAGCGCTCAAAGTCAAGTTGCACCGCGAGCAGCTCAAAAATTTTTGCTAAAAATGACGAAATGTGCGGTAATTGGGTTTAAAAATAGATCAGACAAATATAAAATAGACACTAACATCACATTCCACAAGGAAGTAACGCGCTTCAACTTGTATTTTTATGTAAATATTCACTAAAACAGAAAATTAATTTCGTTGCAACAAGATACGAAAATGTTGCAAAGTAACGGGTTTTTTCTCCCCATTTTGCTTTTCTGTTTCAAAATAATTATATTACGTAATTTTTTGAGAATAGGCAATATCGCGACGGTTGCAAAATTTCTACAAATGTACACCGCCGCAACAACATTGTAGGGAATTTACGTTAGCTATTTTTACGAAATATATTTAGTATTTGCCTTCATTAGTTTCATGTGAAAAATCAATATTCTTGTTCATCATACACTCATTTAAAAAAATTGTCTTGCCCAGACTCAAAAGTTCTTAGCTAAAATTATTTCAGGAAACTAACATTGACTAAAAAATCATCGTCAGTTCTCCAAAATCGTGTATAAATAACTTTCAGGTTCAGGTTCTTAATTGTTATCGTGTACTTTTCATATAAACATACCCACAGATAATATCAGGCTATTTATATATTCAAATTCGATAGTCGCACTTAAACTCGCTTGTAGGTTTTTGTTCATATATGAGTTAAATAAGAATTGGGTAGTATTTAATAAGGTGCCTACAGATTTGCTCGACATTGTCGATCGACAGTAACGATTGAGAATTATAGACGTTTTCGAGGAGTTTTAGAGTGCTTATTACGAATGTAGCATTAATTTCTAAATCCAAGATGGTTGACAACAATTTTCAAAAATGTATTTTTGGTAAACCATAAGGAAATGGCATGTATATCTGAATACAAGATGGGGGACAAGATTTCTAATTCTTCTTCTTCTAATTCTTTGCCATCTTGGATTTAGAAGTATGTGCTATATTCGGAATGAGCAGCCCCTAATACCTTGAAAACGACACCCAACTTGCCATTATTCGAAAAATCGTGCCGGCCATCTTGGATTTAGAAATTAGTGCCATGTTGTTAATGAGCACCCCCAAATACCTCGAAAACGACACCCAACTTGCTATTATTTGAAAAGTCATATCCGCCATCTTGGATTTAGAAATAAGTGCTATGTTCCTAATGAGCACCCCCAAATACCTCGAAAACGATCCCCAACTTGCCATTATATGAAAAATCGTGCCCGCCATCTTGGATTTAGAAATGAGTGCCATATTCGTAATGAGCACCCCCAAATACCTCGAAAATTATACCCATATTGCATTTATTTCAAAAGTCGTGTCCGCCATCTTGGATTTAGAAATAAATGCCATATTCGTGATGAGCACCTCGAATACCTCGAAAACGATTCCCATATTGCATTTATTCGAAAAGACGTGTCCGCCATCTTGGATTTAGAAATGAGAAAAGTCGTGTCCGCCTTCGTGTATTCAGATATAAATGCCATTTCCATAAGGATTACCAAAAATAAGTTTTTGAAAATTCCTGTCACATGACGTTGTCGATCAACAGTAACGATCGACAAAATCGAGCATATCTGTAGGCACCTGATCGACAAAATCGAGCAAATCTGTAGGCACCCCTAACTTAACGATGAGTTAAGCAAGATACAATTTCCCCACTTTTGAGGGAAATGTTATTCCATGGCATCATTATTAGTATATTTGTGTGCGTGCCGACGAGCGTAAATACAAGTTGCTTACGCCTACATGAATTTGATTGTTGCCTCACTTGTGACAGTTCGTTTTTTATGAAACTATCATTCTATGCGTTATTATTCTAAATGTATCCATAACAACACGAAACAATATCAAAGGGATTCATTAAAAATCTTCTTTCAATATCCTCACATTTTGTGGAGTTGATGAATTAAAAAAAATCACAAACAAACTAAACCTATTCGGTCTATAATGGAAGCTATCGAAGGTCTACTAAGAGGCTTCGTTACGAAATGCACTGCATTTTGACTGCATTTTGCAGGTTTTCCCCCCATATGCTTTAATTGGAGTTTTCCATCTGCAACCAGTTCTCTGACATAGATGTTATATTGCTATGTGCTTTGTTCTTCTATGCAGTTCCGGATTTTGAGCTAGTTTTACCGCGGCATCATTATCAACTTTCAAAATTGGAATTTGCTTTAGAACAGAAATCTCATTTTTCAGCTTTTTCA